ACCACTATAGCCAACATTGACACAATTGTTCAAAACAACTCTGTCTTCACATGACGTCTACCAGTGACAACAGAAAAAAACCTGGAAGTGGACTTTTTATTTCTCTCTCTCTCTCTCTCTCTCTTTCTCTTTCTGTTTTATTTGCTGCTGCTGTTGTTCTGGTGGTGGCTTTGTTTTTATTTTATATAAAACCTTGATCTTGGTTTTATATGACTGTGAATGTGGTTTCTAGCCTCTTTGTGTTTGTGATTCTGTCCTGCTCTTTTTATCTCTTCTTCCTCACTTTTCCCTCCAGTCTTCTGCACCAGTTTCTCAAAGTTAGTGTGATCTCCTTTGTCCCCAGATACTTCTAATCACTTCTTCTACCAATTTTCTATTTCCTCCTTAACTCATTTTAAATTTTAACCCCTGACGACAAAATTGAAATATTAAGGACTTGTATACTGCATATAATTTTCTGGTTTTGTTTAGACTTTGTTATATAACCACAAGTCTAGTTCATAGAGTTAAAGGTGGTGACTTAATGGTTAACTCAGTTTGTCATTTTGTAGGCTGTGTTGTGATAATTGTTCAAACCAGCTATTATTTCTGGACTTCCAAGACTGAGATTGACTAAGGGGGAGAGCACAAAAAATACTCTGGCACAATGCCAAGACACTAGGACCTGGCCCAGACAAGCAGCAGGAGATGGTACAAAGGATATAAAAAAGTATTTACAGACATGATGTCAGAAAACTTCCCAGTAGAGAAAAAGAATTTAACATACAGATAAGTGAGGCTTATGAACTTAAAACAATCTACAGTTAGGCATATCATAGTCAAAATTCCAGAAATTCAACACAAGAATAGGATCCTAAACACTGTAAAGGAAAAAACAAATTACCTATGAAGCAAGATCCTTCAGAATCACAGTTGATTTCTTCTTCTTCTTCTTCTTTTTTTTTTTGTCTTTTTCCTTTTTTATTGGTATCAGGAATCGAACTCACGACTGTCTGCTTACAAGGCAGGCACTTATGCCGCTGAGCTAAATCCCCAGCCCCACAGTTGATTTTGTAGCATAACCTGCACATAAAGAAGAGCTGGGAATGAAGTATTTCAAGTTCTAAAGAAAAACAATCTTCATTGTGTATCCCACACAATTGGTGTATCCCACAAAACTATCTTTCAAAACTGATGGAGAAATAAGATACTTCCATGACAAAGAACATCTGAAGAAATTTATGATCACCAAACCAGCACTCCAAAATTTTGAAGGGTATTCTAGAAAGAAATAACAAGAAGTATAACTCCATGACTCACAATAGAACGAATCCACCAAGCAAGGTAAACATTTAAACAGAGGGCTGGGAAAAAAAGAGGTAGCATCAGCAACAGCAAAATAACATGACAAGAATAAGTCAGTGCACAACAATTATAATCATCAATGTTAATGGTCTCAATTCACCAATCAAAAGACACAGATGGTCAGAATGGATCAAGAAGCAACATTCAGCAATATACTGCACACAAGAAACACATTTCATTAAAAAAGAAATTCATAGACAAAAATCAAAGTATGAAAGACAATATTCCATGGAACAGGAACCCAGAAAAAAGCAGAAATAGCTACTCTATTTGCAGACAAAGTGAATTTCAAGGTAAGACTGACTAAGAGAGGTAAGGAAGGTCACCACATCCTCATAAAGGGAACAAGCCAAGAGGAAGAGATAACAGTCTTAAAATATATATTCAACAAATACCAGCATACCCACTTATATGAAACAAATATTGACAGACATGAAAAATAAAATAAGTCCTAGTTTATTTGGGTATCTCAGTATTACACTATCACAAAAAGACAGATCAAATAGATGAAAAATAAACAATGTAATATTAGATTAGAGCCAAACTTTTGAACAAACAGCCTTAATAGATGTCTACAGAGTGTTCCACCTCACAACATCAGAATACACATTCTTCTAAGGTGCACATAGGATGTTCCAAAATACACCACATACTAGCTCATAGAATATGCTTAAGTAAATGAAAAGGAATTGAAATTGTCCCATGCTTATTATCAGAGCATAGTGCAATGAAATTGGTAATTCATGGTAGAAGAAACCATAAGAACTTCATAAACACATGGAAATTAAATAATATCCTTCTGAACAACCAATGGGTCACAGATGAAATTAAATAAGAAATTAGACAGTTTCTATAATTAAATGATAATGACAACACAACATAACTGCACTTATGGGACACAATGAAATGATTCCTAAGAGGGCAAGTTATGGCAGTAAATACTTACATCAGGAAAACAGACCAGGTATAAATAAACCACTTAATGGTTAATCTCAAATTTTTAAAAAAAGAAGGGAAAGCTAAACCAAAAGCTCATACAAAGAAAGAATTTATAAAGAACAAAGCATTAGAGACTTAAAAAATATCAATATAAAGAATCAAAGAGTTGTATCTTCAAAAGTTTAAAGAAAATTTATAAACTATTATCCTCATATAATTCATTATAACTCATTAAAAAAGGGGAAAAAAAGACTCAGATCCACACCATTAGGAAATCATAGCAGATCCTATAGAAATTCAGAAGATCATCCATACCTACTTTGAAAACTTGTATTCTAATAAGATGCAAAGAAATGGACATATTCATAGATACATATAAATTACCAAAGCTGAATCAAGAAGATATAAAAATTCTAAATTAAACTAATGTCAAATTTTTATGAAATCAAAGATATAATTAAAAACCTACTGATGAAAAAAAAGCCCAGGCCTTGAATTTACTTCTGAATTTCACAAGAAATTTAGAGAAGACCTAGCATCACTACTTCTCAAACTTTTAATCAAATTGAAAGGGAAACAATACTCATTCCAGGAAGCAAGCATTATCATGACACAAAAACTGAAGAAGGACCCAGCTAAGAAACAGAATTACAGGCCAATTTCCCTAATGAACGCAAATGTAAAGATATTCAATAAGATATCAAAATTCTGTCTGATTATACACCATGACCATGTGGGATTCTTCCCAGGGTTACAGGGATGGTTCAGTATATGTAAATCAATAAATACAATGCATGATATTAACAGAGACAAGGACAAAAATCATACAGTCTTCTTAATAGATATGGAAAAAGCTTTTGACAAAGTCCAGCAGCCATTAATGTTAAAAATACCTACAGGAAATTATAATAGATGCTTTTTATCTCAATCTGGTAAAAGCCAAGAATCTCAATATCTCTAGTTAAGTGGTCTAACCCAGTCCTGTTTATGGGACAGTCCATTCCAGACCAAGTAGTCTTCAGAAGAATAAAGAACCTTGCACAAATACAATTTGGACCAGTGACACTTGATCAAGATACACGACCTTGATACAGAAGAAATAAATGCAACTTCCAACCTGCTTGATGTCAGATATTCCAAATTTGTCTTCCCCAAAACTGAATAATGAATTCTAAGGAACAACGGAGTTTAAGTGTAGGAAATATTTATTGAGGGGAGAGATATAGCTGCTGAGAGGCAAGAAGCAACCTGTAAAATGGGTTGCTGTGGGCTCCACTTTACAGAGGAAGTTTTATAGAGTAAAATCACAAGTGGGAGAAAAATCGCAAGGTGGGTACAATGTGGGACTAAACTATGATCAGCCAATAAGACTGAGTCAAGCCCTTAAGGTAATATTGATCCAATAGGGAAGCAGATCATGGAGCAAGTGTACCTGGAAAGACAAAGCGATCTTTTCAGGAAAAGACGAATCGAGCAGTTCTGGCCACCCAATGGACTGACACCATCTCCAATCTATTTTTTGTCTCTTGGAAAAGTGTGCAGGCCCAGTCACCCTGGCCCATCTGGAGCCTGGCCCTAAACAGATGCACCTCCACCCACAGTTGTAATGTGTTCTCATCTTCTGCACTGACTCCCTGGAGGGCCTAGCCCTGTCTGACTGCCTGGACTATTTCTAACTAACTTAACAGACCCCTGAATAGTTTTCGACTTCCTCATTCTCTGCTACTGCATTTAAATCCCTTACTTCCTAAGAGAGTTTCTGCCTAGGCCAGTGGCTCCCTCAGGTATTTGTCTTAAGGAAACCCTGTTGTTGTTGCAAGGTTTGTCTCTCTTTACTCTTTATTTCACATAGCCAGTAACATATTTGGCCCCTTCTGCTGCCCTCAGCACATATTTGTGCAGCCTGAAGCCCAAATTCCTGCTCCACCAACCTGCCTTTACACACACAGTCACCTTCAAGTCTGGCTGGCTATTGCTTTCATCTACTCACTTAGATGCCTGGAACCTGCATAGGATTCTCTCCAAGTACCACGCATCTCTGGAAGCCCCAGGAGGTGGGGGACCCTGCACAAGCTTGAGCTGCCCTGTGCCACAGCTCTGACCTATGCCGTAGGGACAGAACCAGTGTAGTGTGCAGACAGGCTGGAGTTTGGCCCACTGAACTTCCTGCACACCAGTATCAAAAGTGCAGCACAGCCTGAGTGAGATGGAGTATTGCTTCTTCTTTGAGCTCTGCTCCACTAGAGAAATCCTGATGTAGCACCCAGCCCATTTCTGAACTATATGGACAACTCTTGAGGGTTTATTTATAGCAATATTCCCAGGCTGTGTTCTTGACTTTTCCCTGAAGAGATTAGAGTATAGTACATTAAGTACGAGGTGGGCACGAACACCTTTTCACGCTTTACTGAAGGTTACACTTTAGTCTCTCTTTTTCTGTAATCATGAGGAGAGTTGAGCTAGTGAGGGGAGGCCATCATGCCTGCCCAGAACCCCAGCTTGACCTGTTCAGGGATCCTGGGCAGCTCTCTGAGCCATTCTTCCTTCACTCTCAGCCTTTGAACTTCACAGTCTGCTCTGTGAAGCTCTAAATACCTTTGCCCTCCTTCTGAGATCCTAGATGGACATTTTCCATGGGAATTTAATTTTTGATTTTCCTCACAGGGACAGGATGTGACAGGGATTTCCTCATTTTGTTCTATCTATGTTGGTTTTTATAGCAAAGGGCAGAGCCAACAGCATATGTCTTAAAGTGGAAGGTGGGAATTATTCAGTCTGAAATGAACTGCCCTGCTGAACCCAGCTGCCAGCCCATGTCTATCTGTCTTAGCATCAAGACCTAAGATACTTTACAACAATCGTTACCATTGTGCCCAGGAGGTGAGGTATCTGTTTTGTTTGTTTGTTTGTTGTTCTGGACCTTTTAATGCTACCTGAAAGGTATGTGACTTATTCTCAACATGTGCCTAAGCCTCTGTCTTTCAGAAATGGGGAGCAGGAAATGATGGGAAGAGCTTTTTCAGTGTGGATAAAAGGAGATCCCCTTGGGGGGCACCTCCCATGTAGCAGGTTTCTCAGGTGTTCTGTTTTCCTCTCAAATGAGGCCTTCCCCTTCTGCCGCCTTCTCCTTTTTCTCCTCCTCCTCCTCTTGGCCTTCTTCCTCCTCCTTCTTCTTCTTTTCTCCTTCTTCTTCTTTTCATTCACCTTCACCTTCTCCATCTCCATCTCCATCTCCATCTCCATCTCCATCTCCATCTCCATCTCCATCTCCATCTCCATCTCCATCTCCATCTCCATCTCCATCTCCATCTTATCTGTTTCCTCTTCTTCATGGGACTGCAAATTGAACTCAGGATCTCTACATCCCCAGATATTTATTGTGTAACAAAATCTCAAAATTTTAAGTTACTCATGCTAGGCTTGAATTTGTGATCCTCCTGCTTCAGTCTGGTTGTGCCACCACACCCCGTCAAGGGTCTCTTCTGGAGGTGATTCATCTCCCTTAGAGACCAAGAGGGTGGAAATCCTCTACTGAAAGCAAGCCATTGCAGACTTGTGGGGAATAACTAGTGGCTTCTGTGGACAAAGCATTACAGTGGGTGCTTGTGGTGCGAGTATCAGGGAGTATAAAGCCCCATCTACCTTATGAGGCTTTTGGTTTAGAACACAAGAATAGAAGAGAGGCAAGACACACCAGCTGCACAGTTTGCAAAAGTAGCAAAGCAAAGCAATATGAAAGAGATTCAAGAATGGAGGGTTGGAAATCAAGAGAACACTGCATGTTGTGTAGGAATTAGAGACCAGGAAAAGTAGGAATGAAGGCAAGGAGAGTAAGGAGGGAAAGGAGAGAAGAAAGAAGAAGAGGGCGGGTGGGAGAGAACTGACCTTCTCCTGGATGGAGGTGGCACGGTTTCCTCCTCAGTGGTGTGCGGGAGTCCTTATCTCTCTATCTCCAGCCTGGAGCAGCCCAAAGCTCCTAAGAGAGCAAGGAAAACACCCCCTTTCTTGTCTACTTTTCCCTTCACTGAGTTCTCCATCTTCTCTGGACAGCCAACATGTCCACCCTCTTATGTTCCTGTCCTCAGCAAAACCTCAGCAGGACCAGAATCTGAAGTGCATTTCAGCATTGGTGCATGGAGTGTGCTCACTTTAGTCAAAATTAGAGTCTAACCTGCAGAGTGCAGTCTGAAAAGGAGAATTCAAGCAGCAAGTGGGGAGGAGGCTGCTGTTTCAGGATGGGGTGTTGCCTGGCGACCTTCTAAAATCACTGATTTCCCTTTGGGAAACTTTAGTCAAAATTAGAGTCTAACCTGCAGAGTGCAGTCTGAAAAGGAGAATTCAAGCAGCAAGTGGGGAGGAGGCTGCTGTTTCAGGATGGGGTGTTGCCTGGCGACCTTCTAAAATCACTGATTTCCCTTTGGGAAGCTGCCAGGTCACTTTCGTCCACAGTGAAGGTTTTCAAGGACACATACTTGAGGGTTACACAAAAGGACTTAGCACAGGTGCCTCCTGTTCAACCAGACATTTTGATAAAACCTTAGCCAGCTCTGGTTTAAACTGTTTCATCTGACAGTGGGATTGTAAATGTATTTACTGGGTGGTTGGGTGGTTTTTATGTCTGACACTGAGGACCCTGACTCTTCTGCAGTGGGTGGTGAGATGGCTGTGATCAGGTTCCTGACAAAAGTAGTCATGACCACAAGGTGCCCCTAGGCCTGAGCTATACAGCAGCTGGTGAGAATGTGTGCTGAAAGAAGCACAGGGTTCTAAGCAAGCAGGAGGGCGCCACTGGTTCCAGAGCACCCCCCGCCCCCGCACTGTCCCCCACCCCCACCCCCCTCCCGCCCTCCAGCTAGTTTGGGACCCTCTGTGGGCCGGCTGGGCCAGGGAACCTCGCACACCTTCCGGGTTCACTCGAGCAGCACAGCAGGTCCTGGTGAGCAGGCATCAGCCTCCCTTCTCCCAGCTGTGCTTGGCAGACTCTGGAGTGCTAAGCAAGCAGGCGGGTGCCATTGGTTCTAGAGGCTGGGCTTGAGCCGGCCTGCTCCACCCCCAGTGACCCTCTATCAATCCAGGGAACTGGGTGCCAGAGTCCCAGGAGCTGAGCGCATAGAAGAGGATTTCCAACAGACCCTGAAGAAGCCTTAGAATAATACTCGAAACACAGAAATATAGGAAAATGACAAAACGAAAGACCAAATTACAATCTCAAACCTCCAGCCCATCCAAAGAAACCTTAGGAGCGATGTATATAGAAGAAAATATATGCCATACACCTCAAATATTGGACATAATAGCAACTGAAATAAATAAGCAATTCCAGGAAGCCTTAAAGGAATTCAAACTAGAAGTAATCTCCAATGTAAAAGAAGAAATGATAAAAGAAATGAAAGAGATGCTGAATATATCTAAAGAAAACACAGTTAAAAAATTGGAGGAACTAAACAAAAAGATAGAATTCCTAGATGAGCAATATAAGAAACAGAATACATAAAGCAGATGCACAGAGATATACAGGAAATCAAAAATTCCACTGAAAGCTGTAAGAAGCACAGAGCAAGGCTCCAGAAGCAGATAGCTCAGATGAAACCCATGTGTGCAGAGGCCTCATTCCCGGTACCTCTTTTCTTGTCTGTGATTTGAATTTATTAGCAATATGGTAATAGTATTTGTGATCTTGGTAAATGCTTGGTAGGTAGGAAGTGCTCAGTTTGAGTTAGTGTTCATGACTGTGACATATGTACCTGTGTGGGTGCACCTCTGTGTTTAGTCTCCCCTCCTGCAGTGTCTGTGATACAAAGCCCATGGATATATCACAACAAAGAACTGGGGTCCTCTCATTAGTTCACAACCCTCAAGCACACTTCCCCAGCCTCTTAATCCCCTGCATATATAGCCTCCCTGACTAAGATAGAGCAAGTGCTCATTCATTCTGTGAGCAGCTGTGCCCCTAGTTCTGGTGTCTGTCTATTGCTCCATCACCTTCTTGTAGGAGAAATGATGTCACCACCTAGCCTCTGTCCTCAGAATCTAGTCCACCAAAAGGGATCCATCCCTAGGCAGAGCTCCTACTGCTTTGCAAGGTGTTAGCTGATGCTCATACCTCCTCAGAGTTCTGCCTGAGGGAGCCTTATTCTGTCTAGTGTTCAGACAAATGTCAAAAGCACACAAGGGAAAAAGGAGCTAAGGGAAAAGGAGAGAAAACAGAAAAGCCAGTAATGATTCTTTGCCTTCCTTGCCAGGTTCAAGACCTCCACAGACACATCCCTGCCCTCAGCCATACAGGGCAAGAGGTCAGCCTATTTGACCAGAGCCTTGACCCCTGCCCAAGTCCTCTGTTGATGCTAGTTATTGAGTGAATAATAATTTCCGTAGATGCTAGCATCAAAACAGCCAGGTCCTTCTAGACAGAACACCAAGCTCTTCCTCTTGAGGAACCCATCTGATGCACAAATGCAAGCACCTCAACTTGCTCCTCTACTTCCCCCCACTCAAAGTTTGAGCTCCACAGCCAGCATTACCCAATGCATTCACCTCTCAGGCCAAGACCTCTCCCTCCCATTGCATTCCTGTTAGGCAGAGTCCTTCCCAACTCAGAGAGCACTTCTCAGTACACCTGTACACCCCCCCCCTTGCACTGTGGCCCAGTGGCTTCTAAATTCTTTCATGCACATTATGCCAGTGATGTTGCTGACAGTAGGCTGCAGCTCTGCTGCCACAGGACACAAGAACATGTGCCACACCAAGAATCTGCAGCAGGAAAGCCAAGCAGAGTGGAATATGGGGCGGAAAGTCAAAAGAGAAAACTGAGGGAAATAAAGAACAGAAACCCACTGTGGACCTTACCCTACTGTGATGGAGTGAAGGAGAGAGGTGTCCCTGGAAGATAGAGAGCAGATATATGGAGGTGGGGGGAAGAGATGCTAACTTTTATTTAAAAAGCATTGCTGGGCTTGATGGCACATGCCTGTAATCCCAGAATTTAGCAGGCTGAGGCAGGAGGATCACTGTGAGTTCAAGACTAGCCTGGGTTACAAAAGCAAGTTCAAGACCAGCTGTACTATATAGTGAGACCTTGTCTCAAAAAACAAACAAACAAACAGCATCTAGCCAACGTATGGGAGGCTCAACAATTTTCCAAATTGACATTGGTTCCTTCCATTGTTAGGAAAGAGAATGAAGTTCATCCAGTTACAAAACTTGCTTAAACTCTCACAATTTAAATGGATGGGAAATATGGAGAGTTCCCTGTGAATTCAAAGACTTACAGGCCACACCATGTTTGCTGGCCACCAGGCTGTGAGATATTACCACAGGGCCAAGGAAGACATTACTTAAGGAGGAGAGCCCTCATATGGACTAGGGTTGGGTGCCCACAGAGGAATGGATGGCTAGATGGGATGGCTCTGTCACTGGAACTGCTATAAACATAGGGAAGTGGCCAGCTCCCCTACTTGGAAGTAACTCCTGAGGCCTCAAGCCTGAATGAAAAGGTTCCACAATGTTGGAACTGGCAGGCACATTCCATTTTGGAAGCAGCAGAACTCTGTGTTGGTTCCTCTTTTCTGTAAGCATGATGTTCTAGGACAAAGAGCAGTGATGACAAGTTTGGTAAGAATGAGATTCTGCAGATTTCCTTTTGTTTGAGGAAGGTCCTTAACGCAAGAGAGGGGTGGTGCTGAGCCCTGACACAATGTATGACTCTATTCCTGGATCTGAACAATACTCAGATCAAAGGCCCCTTCCTCTGGGACCCATTATCCCTGTCCACCTGCTGCTTTATCAATTTGAGCAAGGCCAAGGAGGCTATTAACAGCATTGCCTGATAAAATTAGAAGCTCCCACATCCAGTTGCAGCATAAAAAGAGGCCAATCCTAGGACAATTGTAAAGAACTCAAGAATCAGAAAAACTTATCAAGGCCCCATGAGTTCAGATGGCCTGTGTCAGGCACTATCTCTTTGTTGCTCTCCAGGTGACTCTCACTGCTGATGACAGATGGCTGACTTCTTAGGATCCCTGGGATTTTTGAAGAGAGTATTTTCGCCTAGCCTCCTCTTGATCCTCACTCATGTTCTCCTCTTCCTTCATCCTGGGAAGGCGAACTCAGGTAGTAGGTCTTACCTGTCTCTGCAGCCCCGCCAGCCGTGTGGTTAAAGAGCCACTGCTCTGAGCCTGTGCAGTGCCTGCTGCTCAGCCACCATTTTGTCAGCCTTAGCACACTTCCCAGGACTTTGAAGTCCATAGGCAGAGCGGAAAGCATTATAGAAGGCGCAGAAAACTTTTATTTGTGTTTGTGCTGAACAAGCTGGTAAATATTATAAACTCCACTAACTTCATAGGTCTAGAAGACAAAAAAGACATCTCTTGTTATACCATCTCTTACAAAAGATAGCCAACTGAGGTTGTATATTAATTACACACTTGGAATCTCCTAAGGTCTTAGGCTGAAATCAGAGACACCAAAGAACTGAGGCAGCTCAGAGTCAAGGGAAGGGGATAGTTATGACATAAATAGCTGCAAGAAAACCACGTCCGAAGACTTTGGGAGCTAAGCACAGCTAAGAGCAAATTTCTTCCCTGAAAACCAACAAGAAGAATAGAGAAGAGGTAATGCAGAGTTTTGTGAGAGACACATCCTCCAGGAAGATCATAGGTGGAGGAAAAACTGAGGCAGGGTGGATCTAGGAAGAAAATCAGGTATATCAGGTGGTGGGAAAGATAGCTGGAGATATCCAAAAAGGGAAGATGGTAAAAGGGTTTTGAGAATTCACCTCATGGGCAACAAGTTGTCTCAAATTGCACAAAGAACGACACAGCTCCATGTTCTGCAGGTCGTGAAGGGATCTCTGGTGGTTGAGCTATGGGAGAAGGCTTTAGCTAAACTTGGAAAAAACAAAGCAGACTAATTTGGGGAGAGCAGAGCAGCAACATGGAAACACCATGGGGAAGGAGAGAATGGCTAAATGAAAGGTCACGTGTAGGCCTAACACCATTTGGTTGGTCTTTAACCATAAAAACCCATGAAGCAAGGCGCACATATAGTATTTTACATTATATATATATATATTGTATCTACATTATATGTGTGTATATATAGATTTTGCTTTTACAGAATATATACATACGTAGTACCTTAAAAGTTAGAAAAGCAAAGAAACAAAAATAAGAAAACACCTATTACCATCATGCAGAAATTTCCACCATCAACAATTTGATGTCTACCCTTTTGGATCTCAGGGCATCTGTGCAAATATGTAATTTTTTACTCAATTGTATAGTATAATTTTATTTTTGAGATGTCAATGATTGCTTTTAATTTGTTTCCCTGGCCGTAACTGTCTACAAAATAACTCTTGGTTGATTCAAACCAATAACCAGTCTAGGACCAGGTTTTGTCTCTGGCTGTAACATTCCATGTGTTTTAATCTGTGCCCTTACTTTTCTCATGGTGTTACCAGTTCAAGAAACCAGGCCAGACATCCCTGTAGAGTGTGTCATCTTCATAATTTGAACAGTTTATTGTATGTTTCTAACCTGAAAAATGGCCTTCACGTGATATTTGAAAATGGATTGACTGTGGCTGTGGTTCTTGCTTTGTCAAAGTGATAGGCCCTGAGGAAGTAATATTGGCCCATGTGGAGCACGAGGTGGAGTTCCTATGCCAATTGTCACAGCCCCTGAATGCGGAGCACATGGAGATTCTTTGGTTCCGCGGCCAGGCCTCAGATGTGGTGCATCTGTACCAGGATGGGCAGGAGCTCTTCGAAAGGCAGATGGTGCAGTTCCAGAACAGGACCAAACTCTTCACAGATGCAATTGTTGATGGCAGTGTGACCCTGCAGCTCTACGGTGTGGTGCCCTCTGATGAGGGTCCTTATGGATGCCGATTCCACTCTGACAACTTCTCTGGCAGCGCCATCTGGATGCTGGAGGTAGCAGGTATGTACCCGACCACCAGCCAGAGGGTCAAAAAAAGGTCAGTTTCCTAAGAGCTGCTTTTCTCAAGCAGATACAGAATCCTGGAAAATATTCCTGATTTTAAATAAAGGTGTTCAAAAACAAAGAAATTGATCCATCTACAAAAGAACAAGAATTCACACACACACAAAATATGCTGTGACTGTTAAACATAAAGATGATAATTATTGCTTTTAATTAGAGAAAGGAAATTAAACTACTTCAAAATGTAAATTTTTATCTTTCAAATTGGAGGAAATTCAGAAGTTCCAGGACACTGTCCTGGTGGCTCTAGGAAAAGTGGCTTTCTCTTGTGTGGTTGGTGGAGCTCAAAGTCAAGAAGCTCTGCCTGGGGCCTAGTGGGATTCTGTCTGCCTTCCTAGGATACAACAGTCCCACTTCCCAGAATTTACCTTAGCGATACAAACCCATAATGTCCATTCTGTATCAGTCTAATCTGCATTGCATTAATTCTAATTGTGGAGTGGAGATTGTCCACACCTAGAAGCTGAATATGGTCTAGCCATCTTCTGGGTGTTGGAAATAAGCCCTAGACTCAAATTGTTGATGCAGATAATAAAGCAATTAGACATCAAGAATTTTCAAAAAGGCATTTAGTTCTGCAGAAGGCATTCCAAAAAGGCATTTAGTTCTGTGAGCACGAAATAGTTAGACACACAGGACAAAAGAAGGCTGCTCCTTTTATCCCTAATGCAGAAAAAGCAACTGAGAGTTACATTCATTGGCTGAGTTCAAAGGCTTACAATCTTATCGTGTTTGACTAGAGTGGTACAAGGCATGGCATTGGGAGCAAAAGGCCTTGATTCTTAGGTGGGGGTGGTTAGAGAGCAGGAAGGCTCAGTTTGGGATGCACGGTTCTTGGTGCTTTGTCCTGGAAACCAGCTGTGTTTTGGGAAAAGGTATATGGTCAGCACTTGTTGGAGCTCAGGATATTAACAGGAGTGGAGGGGAGGTAGTGAGGAGGTGGCCAGGGCATTTAAACCCAAAATGGAATTACTTGGCCTTGTGTTTTGACCAAAAAGACACAGCCTGTCTCTCACATGGGTGATCCATAGGCTGTAACTGGAAAAGTGAGGAGTACTTAAATCATGGTTTTGGGTGATTCCTAAGGTATATTATTAAAAGAAAAAAAATCAAGATATAAAAGAGATTTGGTAATGTGTTGCACTTTTGTGTACCGAAAAGAAAGAAGAACATTGCAAAAAGTAACAAATGAAAACGTATTAGAAACTCATGAAATTGGTGACTGAAGGAGAAGGGGATATAATAGAATAAAAAAGGATGGAGGAAGGCTAGGGATACACATTTTTACAGAATTAACTTTTTTTTAGTATTGAACTTATGGCCTTCACATTAATCTTGTTTTATTTTTTGAGACAAGGTGTCGTTAAATCACTAAGTTGTCCTGGCTGGGCTTGAACTTGGGATCCTCTTGCCTCAGCCTCCTAGAATGCCAGGATTACAGGAATGCACCACCACACTTGGCTCAGGATTGATATTTTGACCATGTTAATGTTTTGCTATTCAACACATATGGCTGAGTATGTGGCTCAGTGGTAGAGCACTTGACTAGCATGTGCAAAGGCCTAGGTTCAATCTCTAATCCTGGAAAAGATAGACAGAGGATAGCAGATAAAGAGTCAGTTAACTACATGAGACTACAAAGAAATATAATGCAAGAACTTGACCTCTACTGAGAATCAAAAAGAGGGCGACCTATTGAATTTGAGGTAAGATAGTTCTTTCCAAAGAATTGTCTCTCGCACAATATAACTAAATGCCTGTAGCCTTCTTCACCCAAATTTCCAATGTCCCTCCAAAGTAGTACAGTAGTGTTCTGTTAACACATGCCACTGTGACCTAGGCAGTCGTTAGAAGTTGATAGGCGGGGAGGTGTCAGCTCAACCATGCATTAAGCAGTCACAGTTCCTGATGTCTTACGGTGACTGCAAATGGTGAATGGTGTGATGTGGACTTCATGTCCAACTTCTTGGAAACAGTCTCTCTTTTCTCATTCTTTTTTGTATCTCTCAGGGCTGGGCTCAGACCCTCATATTTCCCTTGAGGGCTACAAGGAAGGAGGCATTCAGCTAAGATGTAGCTCCACTGGCTGGTACCCAAAACCCAAGGCTCAGTGGAGGGACCATAGAGGCCAGTGCCTGTCTCCAGAGTCTGAAGCCATCTTCCAGGATGTTCAAGGCCTGTTCCATCTGGAGACATCTGTGGTTGCCGGAGGGACAGCCCCTAGCAACGTGTCCTGCTCCATCCAGAACCCCTTGCTGGACCAGAAGAAGGAGTTTGTGCTCCACATAGCAGGTCAGTTGGGTGCGCGCTCTCCCTTGCATAGCTAGGCATCGTGTTCTCCGTGTGAGGGTCCTGGAAGGATGCAGTGCTCTGAGGCCTGGCTGAGTAAAGCGTGAGTTGACCTTGACACCTTACCTTCATTTCCTCATTCCTGTGGGGGACATATAAAAACAGTACGAGTAAATCATGTCATAAATTAGAAGGTGGGAGATGCTAGAAAATAGGGAAGGGGACCAGGAGTGGTGTTGGAGGTGTCTATGGACTGTAAAAAGGTAATTTGGAGAAGTAGATGTTTAGGCAATGAGTTGAAATTTAGTATCAAATCATATTTAGTACCAAAATCTGAACAAGAACCAGGTATGGTAGCGCACACGTGTAATCCTAGCAGTCAGGAGGCTGAGGCAGGAGGATTGTTGTGAGTGTGAGGCCAGACTAGATGACATAGTGAGTTCAAGGCCAGTTGGAACTACACTGTGAGATCCTGTCTCAAAACACAAACAAAACAAGCACATAAAAGTCTTATGAGACGTCTACTGAAGGTTCCATAGTGCTGGTTCTAATTGCTTTAAATTTCTTTTTTCTTTTCTTCCTTCCTTTTTTTTTTTTTCAGTGCTAGTAATTCCCTCAGGGCCTTCACACTGAGGTATCTCCCTGCCCCCCACCCTTTTCTGAGACAGAGTCTCCTTATATCACTAACTTGTGTAGGCTGGGCTCCCACTAGCAATCTTCCTGCCACAGCCTCCTATGGTGCTGGGATTCAGGTGTGAACCACCACACCCAACCAACTGTGGCAAACTCAGGCTATTGGCCATTTTCATGTCAGTCCAAATCAGTGGCTATGTTAGTATAACAGGAAGAAAGCTCTCCTTTTGTAGAGACGGGCAGAAACAACTCACTGTATATGTGGTCTCAAGGTAAATGGCTTGTCCCCCAGTGGTAGGACATGGCCGCATCGTGCATCAGAGTTCATTTTAATTTCCCCAATAAGCCTGGTGGGGTCATGTCCTTTTGTAGTCCCAGCTACTCAGGGGCCAAGGCAAGAGGATCTCTCAAGCCCTAGAGTTTAAGCCCAGCCTGGTCAACACAGAAAGACCCTGTCTCTAAATAAATCAGTAAACCCTCCAACATGTGGGGTAACCATCTTTGGCAACAGTCTTTATCCCAAGGAGAAATAAGGCACCTCACACCTCATTTCTGGAAGCAGACGCTTACATTAAACCCCCAGGAGTCATAACAGGCTGCCTCAGCCTTGATGTTTTCAAGTCGAGCCAAGGCCCTTAAAAATAAGGAGTCCTGGGTTGTGAAGCTGGCAAGAGGTTTATTTAGCTCTTAAAAAGTTTTACCCACATCTCAAAGCAATAAAGGATTTACAAATTGCCTAAAGGAAACATTCTAAGAAAAGGGGAGACTCTGCATCAGAGAATCCAGGTTTTGGGGTTTTTTTTGGTCTTTTCCGCCTTTTTGGACTTGTATCAAAATGTATGTTCACATCTATTAAACTTTGCAGATGCAGTTTTAGATTTGCATGTATGTGTATACAGTCTGTACAGACAGTGTGAGTCACATAGGTGTCTGGCAGAAGGGCAAATACAGAGGCCAGAGGGGCTGGGACAGTGGGTGATGCTGCGTGTGTCAGGTCGAGGAGGCAGCAGACCCTGAAGTCTGAGGTCGCTTTTTTTCTTTTGTGCCATAGGAGTTCTACCACTGAGCTATATGCCAGGCCATTTCTACTTTTTCTTTCGAGACCTGGTCTCGCTAAGTTGTCTAGGTTGGGCTTGAACTTTCCAATTTTCTGCCTCAGCTAATTAAGCCAGGCTTGAAGCCATTGCTTTTAACCTCTACGCCTGTGCTTTGGAAAGCACCAGTGGTAAGGGACCAATCTGTTGTGGCCCAATGCATTTGTACAAGGAGAACATACTTCTAGAAAAATAACCTGTAAAACTAAAATATCACTTATGCTAAGTAGACTAAGCCAGATAGAAAAAGAACAAATTCTGAATGATTCTGGGGTGGGGAAAATAACTCCCAGCCTGATAGCTATCAGATGTGCCAAGTTTGGGGTCTCACGACATCCAGGATTGAGGCACTGAATGAAGGAGAAATTTACGTGAATTTATTGCAAAGAAGAACAGTTGCTGGGTTTCCAGGAGGGGTCCCGAGTGCGTGTCTCTGCCGTGATGGTTTATATGGCAAAGTCCCAGCGTGGGTACAACATGCATCAAACTACCATCAACCTGTACGTTCAACGGCTTAGCGAATGTTGATCCAGGAGAAAAGCAAGGCACCCAGCAAGGGCACAAAGCGAGCAGGGTTATTCATGAATGTTAGCTTATCTGTTACTCTTGAACACAGAAGAGCAAAGGCATTCCTGGAAAAGGAGAGGGTGGGTCCAGATGTTCTGGTCCATGCAAATGGTGCCTATCTGGGCTCAGGGACTGCAATGCAAATTGCAGTAGGACTTCCAGCTGTTACTCATCTCTGGGAGCCCAGGGACCTGGCTACTTCTCAGACTCACGCCCCATGCCCGACGGTCTTGGTGCCTCTGACTCCTGCATGTGCTCCCTCAAGGGTTCACCCCTCTGACTGCCTAGTAATTTCTGTGTATAATAATTCGACCTGTGAGATGTGCCCAGGACAAACAGCCACAGAAAGTAAAATGGTGGTCGTCCGTGGAGCCGGGGCGACGTCAGTGTTTACTGGGTTCAGAGTTTGAGTTTAAGAAGAAGAAACCACAGCGAGAGTTATACAACAGCGCCATTGCACTTAGTGTCTCTGGTCTGCACTAAACCCTGAGACAGCTACTGGGAAGGCTGAGGAGGCAGCAAGAGCTCAGGTTCCAACCCAGCATGGGCAACTTTACCAAACCTCGTCCCAAAGTGAAGAAGGAGGAGGAGGAAGGAGGAAAGAGGAAAAAGGGAGGAGGAGAAGGGAGAAGGGAAGACATAGGTGGAGGAAGGAGGGAAGAGGAAGGGGAGGAGGGAGGAAGGAGGGAGAGGAGACAGCGATGGGATGGGAAGGGAAGGGAGAAAGAGGGAAGAGCAGAGGAAGAGCAGGTGGAGAGAAAGAGAACCGGCTTGTGGCTAAGCTGGGAGGTGCATAGCCATACTTCATTTGGGTGAGAATTTGGGTTTGATCTCTACTGCGGAAATAAAGGCTAAAATAATAGGGGTTGGGGGAGCTGTTTTGTTTAGAACATTAAAAAAGTGATAAACTGTATTTTAAAAATAGCTTTGAAGTAGAAGCACCAGTTTTGCTCTGGGACCCGGGGTTTCAGCCTGTGGTCCCCCGGGCCTCAGCCTTCCCCAGTACCCCGTGCGGGCCTGCGCCCCGCCTCGGCAGAGAAACAGATTCCACAGCGAGAAGTGCCGAGCCCCCGCCGGCGCTCCCGAAGGTCGCGGCGTCCCGAGCCCTGTGGCCCCCGGGGTAGGAGGCGAGGCGGCCGCAGAGCTCGCGAGCTCCTCTCCTCCCCGCGCCACCCTCTCCCCCACGCCCCGGCGAAGAGGATCCCCGCAAGGCTCCAGAGCCTCTTCCCGCTTTCCCGGTGTTTTCCAGACGCGTTTCTGCCGGGAGCCTCCCCCTGGAGGAGCGCGTTCCTGGGGACCCTGGCGGCCGCCGCTCCGCTGCTGCTGCTGGTCCTGGCGGCGCTGGCGTGGGTGCGCGCGCGGACTCAGGTGGAGCGCGGAGGTGAGGAGGTGGGGCGGCGGGCCGCGGGCGGGGGTCGTGCCCAGCGTCCTCCCCTTCTTTTGTTTCTTTTTTTTTTTAATTTTAAAGACATACCAAAAAAAGGATAAAGATATAAATTTTCAAAACCAAATACTAGGAAATTAACACAGGTTAATATATTGCATATTGTTAGCTTCAAAGTAGTTCGGATTACAAAATTTAGGCGTGAAAAGAAAACGAAACAGACAATGAAAGCACAAACTTCTTTCGGATGAGCTGAGAGTAGTGGTACAGCTATCTTGTACATATTTACACCCTTGTGTTTCTATTTACACACTTACCCTATTTTCCTTGTTTCTGTCTCCTTTCCGCGTCCCAGTCGCGATGCTTTCGAAGCAGCTGCAGGAGCAGAGGCGGGCGGAGGAGGAGCAGCGAGGTGACCGCGGGGACCCCGGGGCGCTGCGCGGAGGACCAAGAGCTGCCGGGCTCTGGGTTCCGTCCTTCCCACGCATCCCCATCATGAAGGCCGTTCCTCCTTTCTTTTCCAGGAAGGCTAACCTGGCAGCTGGGTGAGTGCTGGGTACCTAAACGGCTGCGGCTCCATCTGAGAGGGGTCCGGCTACGTATTCCCCTACGATTTCTCCGCCTAAAGACTGCTTCCCCGGCCACTGCCCGGGGTGAATTCTCACTGGGAAGCTGGGCACTGTCAATCCCTACCGCAGTGGGAGTGATTTATCACATCCACAAGCCGGGTGGGGAGGGCTGCGGACGGGATGGTGAGTGAGCCCTCAGCACAGGAACGGGAAGGAGGCCTCCCTGGGTGGAAGGAAGACTCAGGACCAAAACTCCAGACAAAATTAAGGTCAGGGAAACGTGTTTGCAGTCTACCTAGTGCTGAGGGCGCCGGAGTGGGGGGAACCAAAGCAAAACAGCTGTCATCGATCGTAACCCCATAGTCTTATTTGGTGGATAACGTTGCTTTTCGAAGGATCATTTTCTTTTAAAAGAAAAAGTGGACAGTTCAGAGGAATGTATCCTCCTGGCAAAATGTCCTAGTCCTTCGCAAATAATCGAATGTGATATTTCTGGACCTTTAGTGATTTCTCCAGTAAGAGAGCCCGAGACTCGCGCAGCTGCGCTTGCGCAGTGTCCGGACTGACTGGAGGCTCCCCCTGGACAAGCTTGCACTTTCTGGAACGAAGAGCCAGGAGCATCTTCAAACCAAACCTTGCCCCAAATCTTTGTCTCCCAGAGCCAGGAGCCCAGGCATCAAAAGCCTGCAGATGGGTCTGGGGCAGGGAACAGTGGGGTAGGGGTTCGGACAGTGGCGGGGCGGAGTCCTTTACCCTGGGACAGGACTGCTTCGGGAGGGTGGGTCCACTCCTCCTGAGGGTTGACATTGTCTCTGTGTTCTGCTTATAGAGAAGCTTCTGATGCAGTTGGGTAAGTGACTCTTAGAATGTTCCTTTTGTCTACCTGTTTTCCTCTGGTTATCCTTGTATCTTCTCACCTCCCAAGCCAGGTGCGATGCTCCTCCTGGAACAGATGGCTGCGTGGGTGGCAGCAATAGGGGGGAAGAGCAGGAGTGGTACAAAATGTGAAGTGTAAGCAGAGAAGTGTGATGTCCTGGTGTTCTAATTCCGTTTTCCCTTTGTGCTTCAGACTCAAGAAGGGCTGAAGGCCAAGCTGGTGAGTGAAGGTTATTTTTCTCCAGTCATTGTTTATTATGTTCCCAGCATTACTCCAGGGATAACATCTGATAAACAAGTTAAAAATATCACAAGTCAAACGTGCATCTCATAGATGTCACCTGACTTGACAATGCAGCATGCTGTGGACCAGTGGGGGCAGACGTTTTAGAAACCGAGTCCCTAACTGCAACCCAAAACACATTTATTTATCGAAAAGTGCCAAAACTGCAATTAAACCTGAATAATTAGGTTTTAGTTTAGGAAAAGCAGCTCACACAACTCATGACACCGTTGCAGAGTAGGCTCTGCCTGCCTGCTGTGCCATAGGTTCGCCATCACTGCTGCAAGCTGTAGATTGTCTGTCTTCCCGATTGTGTGGGTCTAGATGTACCAGCATCTCAGAAGAATATTCCACCATGAGTGGTTGCTAACCAGGGTAAAGATCAAAATTAGGGTTTGTACTGAATATGTATAGCTTATGCAAAAGTATGCTTTATACTGAACGCACTGACTTTTGCACATCACAGGGTAAAAGCCATTTATGTTAAACCAGGTGCTGGGGGTATAGCACAGTAGCACAGCACCTGCCTGGCAAGTGTGAGGTGGTGAGTTCCATTCTTGGTAACAAACAAACAAACAAAAATTAAGCCAGTCAGGGACTGTACCTCTCAGCATCACAATCATTTGCTGTGAATAATCTACCCCATTTCATTCTGGTTTCATCTCACAGCCTCCCAGGGTATGTATTAAGTAAGTTATGCTGCTTGGTGGGCAGTGTTCCTATTTAATTATTATATGGATTGTTCTGAGGCTTAAACACACTGGAAACCCTGGATACCTGTGCTGGTTGTGTGTCCCAGTCACTCCTTCAAAGACTGACTTTTGGTCTGGAGTGGCATGTCACCATGCATGTGTGCACTTTTCTCCATACAGGCAGTCCCCACGTCCATGTGAGGTATAATGTATATCTTTATTTTCTGTGTATTCTCGTAAATGTGAATTTCACTTTTGTCCCATGTGTTTTAGTTGTGTAAATGATGTTCACTATCTCACATGGCTTTTTTTCATGCACTGTTTGAACATCTTTCCCATGTGTGCATATAATCTGTTTCTCCTTGCTGCAAAGACTATTTTAACATGTCACTTGTTGGAAGAGACATCCTGGCCACTTCTGGGTCACACCATCACAAACAATGTGAATGAATAGCTTTAAATACATACGATACTGTGTGGCAGTCTGCCCATGTCCTCAGGACGGGACCTCCTGGGCTTTGGAGAGTCTGTTCATTGATGAACACAGGGCTGTCTGGAAGGCAGCACCACCATCCTGCCAGCAGCAGAGCTGGGTCTCTGTGCGAGCAAGCTTTCAGTATTTACCAATCAGTGGTAATAAACGATTGATCACAGTTCTTTTGTTTGTACCCTTCTAAATATTAAATTTGAACCTCTCTCTAGTGGTCTTTCAGGTCTTCTTCTTCTGAAAGGTTCCATTTCACAAGGGGTTGCTATCTTTTCCTTCTATATACTCTTCTATCCCTCCCTGGTATTCAACATGTGAATTCCTTTTTCCATTCTGCCATCTGCTATCATTCTGATCCATGGTTCCCATGACTGAAAAGAAGTCATTGAATTTGAGAAAACATAATTTATTTAATTTTTACCTATAGTTTACATTTTTGAAGTTTTGCTAAAGAAGACTTTTCACACACATAACTCACTTTATTTTATTGATTTTACATTAGATTTCTGATACTATAAACAAAATACCTGAGATGATCAATTTAAAAAGAGCAAGGGTTCATTTTGGCTCATGACATTAGAGTTTGCGGTCCATGGTTACTGGGTGATGTCACACATCCTGACAGGGAGTGCAGAGTGGTGGAGCAAGCTGCTCACTTCAGGGCAGCTGGGAACCAAAAAGGGAAAGAGGAATACACAGATCCCAACACTGCCTTCAAGGGCCTGCCCTGGAATGGACAGAAGGCCCTTTCTCTATTAAATTCCCACTGTCTCAGTGGACCAAGCTGAGGACCAAGTCTTTTACACATGAGCATTTGGAGAACATTCCAGATCCAAACCACAGTAATATGTGTTGAATGCAGGTCTTTAATCCTAAAATTGGCCATTTTTCTAGAATCAGGTGAGAGCACAGTGATATTTCGCTACACAGTTTTCCCAAAGCCACTGAATATACCACATAGAGTACATCACAAATTGATGGAGAGCATCCATCACTTTGTTGCCTTTAGTGCATGGTCATCCTCTGCATAGGAGAGTCTGTCCCTTGGTTTACTACTACCTCATTCATTTTACTCTGATTGTCAGACCCCCACCTGGACAGAGAAGAAAAATTTCCCTGAGCAGAGCCGCTGAGCACAGCTGCAGAGACAGAAATAACAGGCCAACAGAGTCTGCAAAAAGGAGATGAACACACAACTGCTGCACACAGCTGCACCTGTGAGACATGGATGTCACCAAGGCTCCCAACTCCGCAGACCCAGACCCCACACACCCACCCCTCCCTGCCGTACTCTCCCTATACTAACACCCATGTGAATGGTCGTATTACCCTTGTCCCATCTGTACCCAGCTCGAATAAACTTCACTTAGTGCTTCAACTCTGCCTGGTTTAGTTCTCCTGGTTGTGCCTCAGTTTACTGTAATGCCTATAGCTTCTGTAATAATTGAAAGGACAAGTTCTCCATTATTTCTACTTCCTTTTTAAAGTTAGTGGAACTTTTAAAACATATAAATTGTTGGATAAACTTATAAAGTTCCTTTAAAAATCCAAATGTTGGGCTGGGGATTTAACTCAGAAGCATAAACGTCTGCCTGGTAAGCGCAAGGTCATGAGTTTGATCCCTGGCACTAAAATAAAATAAAATAAAAATTTGAATGTTGATTTACATAGGATTGTTTTGAATTTATACAGTTAGGGAGAATAAAACTTTTTAATTTATTCTAAAGAGAAAAAACAATGATATAGAATGTCAAAACAAGCCAAGGGGATTAATAATGGTTAATATATTGCATACTGTTATCTTCAAAGTAGTTGTTCAGATTACAAGATACTGGCATGAAAATTGATCAAACAATATAAGCACAAACCATTTTCAATGAACTAATAGAAATTACTAGTATAATTGTCTTAGCTATTTTTCTTTTCCTTTTCTCCTCTCCCCCATCTTTTGAGCAGTTTCTTCCCCTTTTACAATATCTATTATATATTTTGGATCTTATTTCTTCTTTCAGTTACTTATACTAAGGGGACAATGTGATGTTTATACATGTGGATCTGATTTATTTCACTTTTAAGTACGGTCCAAAGTTACATTCATTACAAGAAGAGCCTGGAGTTTCCTTCTTTGCACCTGAGTAGTACTCCATTGTATAAAAGTACATCTTTTTTTTTTAAAGTTTATTTTAAAGAGGGTAAAATTAAACAGAACAAAACAGATCATAAGAAAAAAATTTAAGAGACACAGATTTCAAAGCAAGACAACCGGAGACCTTCAAAGTAGCTGCCCATACCATCAGACACAATATAGTCAAACAAAACAAAACATAATAAAGTCAATCAAAACAAAACAAAGAAATACTGGGCTTCAAAACAAGATACTAGGAAATCAATAATGTTGACCATATTTTGTTGTCTTTGAAATAGCTGTCCAAGGGCTGGGGATTTAGCTCAGCAGCAAAAGTACCTGCCTTGCAAGCAGGTGGTCGTGAGTTCAGTACCGATAAAAAAAAAAAAAAAAAAAGAAATAGCTGTCCATGCCATCAAATATAATAGTATGAAAGATAACAAAGCACATTAAGATCAGACTAATCAGAACAATTAAAACAAAATGGTTTCAAAACACAGCAGCAAGTTAACAATGGCCACTGCTTTCCCTTTTTAGACATTTCCTCCCCTTTCACTTTCACAATATTTTTGTGCATTTTGGAACTAGCTGCTTTAGTTTTTTATACTAGGAAGACAACAGGATATTCACCCATGAGTCTCTGAACCATTTCATTCATGAGCATGATCTCAAGTTGTATCCATTTACTTAGAAGAGCCTGGAGGTTATCTTTATAGATGAGTAGCTTTCCACTGTATAAAAATGTCATGTCTTTCTTATTCACTCTGCAGCTGATGGGCAAGCTACCTGCCTTCTTTCTGGTTCCCTGTCACATAGAGCATTGTTCTCTCTCCTTTGATTTTAAGTCTATGAACCCCTTTTTGAGTTAAAAATGTTTCTTGTATAAATCATATTGATGGATCCTGTCTCCTGATCCACTCTGCCTCTATATTAATGGTTATGGCCAATATGCACTGGCTTATCTGCCAGGCTATTTTCCTGACATTGGCTGCCTACCTTTCCCCTCCATTCTATTGTCTGCCCCACATGGTGGTCCCCCTCTGCTGCTGTTCCTGGAACCATGGTCTTTTTTTAAAAATCTCTTTCTAGAAAATTTCCAGTATTCTTTGTCAGGTTGGTTTGGTGGTCATGAATTTCTTCAGTTGTTCTTTGTCATGGAAGTATCTTATTTCTCCATTATTTTTGAAAGTTAGTTTTTTAGGATACATAAATCTTGGTTGGAAGTTGTTTTCTTTCAGGACTTGAAATACTTTAGTCCAAGCTCTTCTTAACTTGATGGTTTGTGTTAAGAAGTCTGTCATGATTCTGATGTTTTACTTTGTGTTTCTTTTCTCTAACAGATTTTAATAGTCTGGTCTTGTGTTGACTTTCTGGAATCTTGATTATTATATATCTGGGTGTAGATTTATTTTGGTTATGGTTAGTTGGATTTCCATATGCCCACTTATCTGTATATCATATCCTTTTCTCATATTTGGGAAGTTTTCACTATTACCTCTGTAAACAAAATTTTAATATCATTTGTGTTGATCCCTGCTTTTTCACTGACACGTATTATTCTTAAGTTATTTTTTGTGTCATCTTGCAGCCATTGAATTATTTTTTAATTCCTTATAATTTTTAAGAGATTTTTCTTTTCACGATCACAAGCTGCAAACCTGTCTTCAAGGTCTGCAAGTCTATCTTCAGTTTCTTTCAAGTGGTTTTGCCAGCTTTCAGTGGACTTTTTAACTTCTTGGATATCTCTTTGAATCTGTTTCATGTATTCTGAATTTTTTCTATATTGTTAATTCAAGATTTCCCTCCTTTTCCTATGCGTCTCTAATTTTTTAATCTATGTCTTCTTTGGAGGTGCTCAGCAGTTCTTTTATTATGTTTTTCATTTCTTCTTTTACCTGAGATAGTATTTATGTTCTAATTTCTTTTATAGCCTCATGAAGTTGTTTCTTTACTTCAGATGCCATCACTTCAGAAACTTCAGGTGTGTGACTTCCAAAGTCTTCCATATTTACATCTCCTGGACTTTCTCTGCTTGCGTTGGAGACCAGAAACTGCCTTTTGCTTCTTCATCTTGATATATTTCTGGGTTTTTCTAGACAAGCGTGTAGTGGGGTCCCAGGAACTTCCCGCATTGGCTACAATTTCTCGAAAGCTTGCTGTTTGGTTTGTCTGGCCAGTGCTGGCTATGGGTAGCTGATGGTGGTCATTGGGTACACCGGTCCAGAGCTGGCTGTTGCTTTTCCCTGACTGTACTGGCTATCAGCGGTGGAGAGCCTCCACGATGGCTGGCATGCACACAAGGGTGGCACTGGCCCTCTGTCTCCTGACCTGAGCTGGTTACCCATAGGAAGCCTCCAGGATGGCAGCTGAAGAGCACACAGGCAGGGGCAGGACTGGCCAGTCTCATATTTCTGTATCTCTACTCAAGATTTGATGGATAATTCCTTTATAAATGTCCACATTTTTTTCCTGAGAGATTATTGTTGACCTGATTTCCTGGATAGCTTCATGGATTTATTTCTCTACTTTGGTTGCTATCATTAAAAAAATGACAGCTGTGTGTCTTCCACTTTCCTCTATCTCGTGGTCTTCTAAACTTGTTCCGGAAAAGTTGGAGGTCTGAGATTGCATTTTGCTTTTGTGTCTGGAATTTTTAAAAATTTTATTTTAAGGAGAAAAAAACAAAAATCAAGAAGCAAACAGGGAAAAAACTATCAAAGCCAACAACAATGACAAAAGCAACAATGATAGCAACATGGGATTTCAAACCAAGATGACAGGAATTTAACAATAGTTGTTATACTGAATATTGTTATCTTCAAAACATGGCTCAGGTTATTAGATACAGGCATGCAAAGTTGATCAAACAATACAATTTTCCTTTGAGTAATTTCTTTCCGTTTTACTATACCTATTGTAACTTTTGGATTTATTTTGTCTTTCAGTGTCTTACACTAGTGAGATACATCCATTTACCTATAAATGCCTCAATTTTATTGTTGTTTGTGGCTGAGAGGTATTCAATTGTATAAAAATATCACATCTCTTTTTATCCATTCCTGAGAGGATGGCCATTTGGTTTGTTTCTAAGATCTGGCTACTACTAATTGTGCTGCTATAAACAGGTGCACATATATTTGTGAGGAATGAGGTTTTTAATTATTCTGGAAAATATTCAGAAGGGAAATATCTGTGTCAAATGGAACCTTTAATCTTAGTTTTTTGAGGAATTTCCACACTGATTTCTACAGTGGTTGTACCAATCTGTACTCTCATCAACAATGTAGAAGCGTTCCTTTTTCCCTACTGGTCCACTAGCATATGTTATTTGTTGATTTCTTTATGTTAGCCATTATTTCTTTTAGTGAGATAATATCTCAATGTTGCTTTAATTTGCATTTCTTGAATAACCAATAATGTTGAACATTTTGTCATATATTTATTTGCCATTGGTCTTTCTTCATATGAGAAGTGTGTATTCATCTCATCTTCTCGTTTCAGTATTGGGTCTTTGAAATTGAGAGGCCTGATATTTTTCAATTTTTTATACTTTCTAGATAGAAGTCCTTTGTCCAAGGGACAATTGGCTAAAATCTTTTCACAATTCAGGGGGTCTTTTTCATCCTGTTAGTGATTTATTTCAATGTGCAAAATGTTTAATAAAATGAGATCCCAGTTGTTTATTCTTCAAAGTATTTCCCATGCAGTTTGTTTTTTGTTCATGAACTCTTTGCCTACCACTATGTCCTCAAAATTTCTACCTACTTTGTCTTCCAGTAGATTCAGTGTTTCTGTCTTAATATTTATACCTTTGATCTATTTTGACTTTAGTGCATGATGATAGGTATGGATTCTAGTTTAAGTCTTTGGCATGTAGGAAGCCAGTTTTTCCAATGCCACTTATTAAAGATGCTATCGTTCTTCCAGTGAACATGTTTTTCCCCTTTATCAAAGATAAGGTGGCTGAGTGTGTTTGTATCTTCTGTTCTGTTCTATTGATCCTTAGTTCTGTTTTGCTGCCACTACCATGCTGATTTTATTATAGCAGCTTTGTAGTATAATTTCCAGTGTGGGACTTTGATGCCTCCTGACTTGTCTTTGTTGCCCAGGATTGCCTTTGCTATTTTAGGCTTCTTATGGTTCCATATTGTAGACAACTCTTTCCCATCCTCATCATAGTCCAGGAAGGTTTATAATTGTAATCCTAAGAAGAAGTTATTGAAATTTTAGTGAGCTAATGCCAATCTACATTT